AACAGAGCACTCATTCATAAAAATAAACACATCTTTAGCTAGCCTCGGTGGCGCAAGCCTTTAATTCCAGTACTCAGGGGGCAGAGGCAGGCAGATCTCTGTGAGTTAGAGGCCAGCCTGGTCTACAGAATTCCAGGACAGCCAAAGCTATTACACAGGAAAACCCTTTCTTGAAGAACCAAAAAAGGAAAAAAAAAAGAAAGAAAAAAGGAAAAGAAATATATGAATATATAAATCAAGTTTCAGACTGAACATGCTTTGAACAGTAATTTTTTCCTTTTGTTGAAAATATATTTTTGTAGTAGGTTTCCATATGGAAATTTCCAAAGCTTTTAGTGTCATTTATTCCCATATCCCTTCCCCTGTCCCTCACCCACCCCACTGAACCCTTCCTGGCCTAGCATTTCTCTTAACTCTCTCCACCACCTACATTCTATTTCCCTTTCCCTGGAATCTGCCTTCTCTGGGTGCTTCAATTTAAACATACACATCTGAGTATTTAAACTTAGATCACACATGAGGGGGGGGCGAGCATGTGGCCCTCTGCCTTTCAGGGTCTTGGTTATCTCACTCCAGATGATTATTTTGATTTCCTACAGTGTACCTGTGAATTTTATGATTTTATTTTTTTTTTACAGTGAAATACTATTTCTCTGTGTATATGAACCATGTTTTCATCACCCAGCCATCGGGTGATGGATAGCTAAGCTGTTTTTATTTCTTGTAGGCTGTGAATAGAGCCGAAATGGACATGGATGACCAAGTATTTCTGTAGTAGAATTTAGAGTCCTTTGAGAATATGCCCAGGGGTTGCATCACATGACAGAGCCAGTCCTAGTGTTTTGAGGAACCACCACACTGATTTCTACAGCCGCTTTCCTAGTTTGCACTCCTGACAAGGACAAGTAAGGATCTCTTTTCCCCAAATCCACTCCAGCAATTTTTGTTATTTGTTTTATTAATTTGAGTCCCTCTGATTGTGGTAGGATAAAATCTCAAAGTTTTTTTTTAATCTGAACTTCAATGATGACTAAGAATATTGAACTTTTTTTTTTTTTAAAGATTGCTTAGTCATTTTTATTCCTTCTTAAGAAGTGCTCTTTTCTGTTCCATGCTCCGACTTTTAACTAGGTGATGTATTTGCTGGATGTTTCATTTTCTAAGTCCTTTGTATATGCTAGACATGAACACTTTGTCAGTTGTGTATTAGGTAAAGACTTTCCCCATGCTGGGCGGTGGTGGCGCATGCCTTTAATCCCAGCCCTTAGGAGGCAGAGGCAGGCGGATCTCTGTGAGTTCGAGGCCAGACTGGCCTACAAGAGCTAGTTCCAGGACAGGCTCCAAAACCGCAGAGAAACCCTGTCTCCAAAAAAAAAAAAAGAAAAAATAAAAAACAACTTTCCCCATTCTGGAGGCTGCCTCTTCCCTCGAATGATGGTGTTCTTGTTGTAAGAAGCTTTTTATTTTCATGAGGTCTCATTAGCCCGTTGTTGGCCTTAATGCCTGTACTGTTCAGGAAGTCGTCCTTGTGCCCCTGAATGGAAACTTGCTTCCTATTTTATCCTCTATCAGATTCAAGGTATCAGGGCATATGTAGAGGTACTTGATCCATCTGGGCTTCAGTTTTGGCAGGGAGAGAGGTAAGGATCACATTCCATTCTTCTACATGTAGCAGTCCACATTTGGATAGCTATCCAACATGGTTTCTTAATGAAGCAGTGTTTTTGCCAATGTGTCTGTGTGTGTGTCTCTGTGTGTGTGTGTGTCTGTCTGTGTGTTGTTGTTTTTGTTTTTGCTTGGTTTCTTTGTAAAAAAAAAAAGAAATAAAGGAAGGAAGGAATTAAAAATCAGGAGGCTGTTGGAATGTGCCTTGTTTCGGGACCTCAATTCTGTTTCATTGGTCAGTATGTCTGTTTTTATGCCAATACCATGTTGGTTTTTGTTGTTCTGTTTTTTATTTGTTTTACTATAGCCTTACAGTATACCTTGAAATCAGGAATTAGGATTTCTCTATTAGTGTTTGATTGCTCAGGATTGTTTAAACTACCCAGGGTCTTTTGTGTTTCTATATGAGTCTGAGATAATTTTTTTCAATTTCTGTGAAGACTAGCATTGGGAGTTTGATGGGGAGTGTACTAAATCTGTAGACTGCTTTTGGTACAATAAGCATTTTCACAGTTTTAATCCTACCAATTTATGATCTTGGGACATCCTTCCATCTTCTGGTGTCTTCTTCAGTTTATTTTTTCCAGCGTCCTAAAGTTTCCACTGTAAGGTCTTTTAGTACAAGTTTTTTTCATGTCTCCTGTCCCCAAGGAGCTCTAAGCCATACTCAGAGAATCCTTCTCACCTATTCTCTGTCAGGTCATTTCCTCAGGGATAGTTTTAGGTGCTGAGAGAGGGGACAGGGGACAGCATGCAATCCTGTCCTGGGCCAGGGAGGTCCCAGTTCCCACACCCTGGAAGTTACAATGCTCCCCAGGAGGTGAGATTGGTGGCTCCAGCCTTATCTCTTTACAACTGATAACCAGAGACAAGTCCTCACCCCTTCTCCCAGGCAGCCAATGCCAGGCAGTTCTGCCTGCTGGCTCTCCTTGGTGGCAGACATTCAGCAGCTCTGTCTAGGGTGACATGCCAAACTCCTTTGATGGGGAGTAAATGGCTCAGCCTAGACCACAAAGGCCTGCTGGGAGCAAGTGACAGTATGGTGAGGAAGTTTATCACCAGATCTGTCACCCAGGGCCTCCCCTCTGATGCTCCTCAGGCTCCTGGGCCCTAAGCAAACCCTAGAGCTGGGGCATCTCATGCTGCTCCTGGTCTCTCACTCCTGTCTGGCAGGTAAGGCCTTTCCTTCCCTTCATCTAGTATCCATCAATAAAGTGCAGATCTTCCAACCTCATTTGAGCAGCTGGATGTGGCTCAGGTGGTTTAGCTCCTGCCTAGCAAGCAAATAACCACAGGAAAAGAACATCAAAACAGATAAGCACAGTGTCTGGGAGCTGCTGTTTGTAACTCTAAAAACTAAGGCCAGGGGGAAATAGGATAGGCCAGGCTCACACTAACATAGTGAATCTGAATTTACTGGGTCAATTTCCCGGCTCTCACGTATGCACTGGAATGTCCTTTATGGAAATCTGAGTGAAAGAAATCATGTGAAAGAGAGATTAGATTCGAGATAGCTCCTTGCAACGTGAATATTCCCAGCAAGCTCCTGGGCCATGCTGTACAATGACCATTTCAAAAATGGTTTATGCAAAGAAATACACTCACTCCTTTAGCTGAGGGGTGACTTTTATTTTTAGATTTTTTTTTTTTAATTTTCGAGACAGGGTTTCTCCGTAGCTTTTTGGTTCCTGTCCTGGAACTAGCTCTTGTAGACCATGCTGGCCTCGAACTCACAGAGATCTGCCTGCCTCTGCCTCCCGAGTGCTGGGATTAAAGGCGTGCATGAATGTTTTGTTTGTCTGCATGTCTGTGTACCACATACATTTCTGGTGCCTGCAGGCATCAGATGAGGTCTTTGGATTCCCTGGAAGTGGAGTTATGGATGATTGTGAGCCACTGTGTGGTGCTGGCCACTGAACACAGATCCTCTGTGAGGGCAACAGTGCTCTTGACTGCTGAACCATCTCTCCAGCACTACGTTTTGTTGTTGTTGTTGTTTTTAAATATACAATTGTATAGCTCATAATGAACGTTTGTATTGATTTAAAGTTACAAATGTATTTGTTTTGTACATCTGGTTGAACTGAGTAATTTACCAGTAATAAACATCACATTTAATAAACATCACATGAATAGTGTATTTTTGTCTCTCCCTGAAGTCCTGAGGCCCCATCCTCTCTGTGGGTTTTGCCCACTGTTTTTGCCAATCTCTGTCTGGTCCGGGAAACTCACAGAGCCCTTCGCTGGGAGATCAGAGGCCAGGGAGGCTCTCCAGTTCCTTTCTGGATTAACAGCCTCTTTGATGAAGCTCAGATTTAAAAGAAAAATGAATGAAGTCAGTGCCAAACACTGTTGCAAATGGCGGAGGAAACGATATTTTAAGAAGCGAGTTCCTACATTAAAGTCACAGAAGAATTTACCGCACCTATTGCAAAGTGTCCTCTTTTATGATAAGGACAGGGCTCAGGACGTATCCTAGCAGATAGAAAACCTGAGGAGCAGAAGCCCTGGGCCACTGGCTCCAGAGATTCAGGCTGCAGGCAAAAGGAACTATGCACAGATGGGCTGTGGGCTCCTCATAGCGTCTGGTTTTTCTTTTTCTCAGGAATCTGCTTGTCAGAGGGCTTAACCACTCAGGGTTCAGCTTCCTCACCTGTGGCATCAGGGAGGAACATTGTCTCCCCCGCAGAGAGTGCTGAGCACAGCAGAGGGCAGAGGCTCCATGTGTGGGAACAAATAAGCTCCCCAGAAAGCCCCTCTGCCTTCCTGTTCAGCACACAGGACATATGGAAGCACCCTCAGCTGCCGAGTCCCACTGCCCAGCTCCCTCTCCAGCTGAGTCTTTCAAGATCTCCCAGTACAGGGACTATCCAGTAGCCTCATCATTCAATCTCCTGGAAAGCTCTTTGGTTCACATTGGGATTTCAACCTTTTCCATTTCCTGTTTGTTTTCTAGTGAGGTTGAGGAGTCCTGTTGTTTCTGTCCCCAATGGTTTACATCAAGGATTGGCCACCCTGCTGTTGTCATTACTGTAAATAGCACTGGGGAGGCAGGCAGCCTGGCCCCACCCCTTCTTCAGCAGGACTCTCTCTAAGGGACAGCCCTTCAAGCCTGGATGGCCTAGCAGCCCTGGCCTGAGGTCTTCAGCATCTGGCTTCACCGATCTCCCTTCAGCTCTGTGTCTTCTAGTCCAGGCAGAGGGCAGCGGCATCCCCGTCTTGCAAGCTTGTGCCTCCTGTGACCTGCTCTAGCGACTCCAAGGCCAGGAGGAAGGGTTCATCCAGGGCTAGGGCACTGAGTTTCATCTTCTGCAGCTATTGATCTCCAAGCACAGATGAGAGGGGACTCGCCAGCCCTAGGTATTGGTTTGAAAAGGCACCAAGCCAGGTAAGTACAGAAGTCATCCAGGTACTAGAAAGCCAGGCTAGGGGGTTAAAATTTTCTGGCATTTTCCATCTCAAAACCTTTCTAAACTATAACTGCATCTCCAGAAATCTACAAGTACTACAATGATTACCAGGCTTGTAATTTTTGTTAAGTTCTAAGTGTGCTATATATTTTATATCATGGCTGTCATGTGAGTTGTGCTTATACTGACTGCATACTTGAAACTTCAACCATTTCCTTGAAACGTTCCAGGCCTCTGTTCTTGATGACTGTAGTGTTGCAGCTCGTCCATCAGGGAAACAGTAAGTAACTTTTTTCCCCCTGAATTTCAGTTCTAAGTCATAAGATCCTCGTTTCCCCGTTACTGTTAGTCTCTTACTTTGCTGTTCTTCAAAGGTTATCAGAGAGAACCTGACAGTGTCAGACAAGTCAGCAATATCCTGTCTCCAAGCCTCCCAGGGACGACTCTGGATGGGACCTTGAGTGATTCCAGCAGAATGAATGGCAGCCAGGAGGGCTGGCGCCCACGGGACTCCCCTCCTCACTCCCGTACTTTTGGCGAGAGTAAGTCTTCACTCCGTGCAGTCCTGTGCAGTGGATCCTGGGAAAAACAAGTGGGATAAACCAGGCTGGAAAGGAGACAGCGCAAGGAGCATCTTTTCATCTTCAAGTTTAAAAAAAAAATGAAAAAGAAATTCTAGTGATGCGTTTACTCTCAGGTTTCACGATTTCATGGGCAAAAGTAGCAGCTTTCCTCTGTCGCTAAGGCAACAGGCTCTACCCTAACATTCAGGCAACTCCAGCACGCCCAGAGGCTCCAGGTGGCGCTAGCGTCATCACACCTACGGGTGGTCCTGCCTGGGAGGCCTGTGGTTAATCACTGTCCTCAAAGTCACAGGCTAACGTTAGCAGTGGAAGGGTGTGAGAGAAGCAGCCGCTTGGAGGGTGTCAAGGGCTGTCCCGGACCCCGCCCACATTCCTGTTAGCTTGCTTTTCAGCCTTCAGCTAAAGAGTGAGATTTACTTAGCAAACACACTCAGCAGGCATGGTCCCCTCTCAGGCTGTGGCGCCCTGCCCTCTGCAGGAGGGGACTAGGGGAGCTCCAGGGGCCAGCACAGCTGCTGACCGAGGTCAACCTGCAGGTGCGATCCCTGGATCCCGCTGCTGCTATAATGGAGGCACCTGCGTTCTGGGCAGTTTTTGCGTGTGCCCTGCACACTTCACTGGCCGCTACTGCGAGCACGACCAGAGGCGCAGGTGGGTGGAGCACAAGTGGGCTGGGCAGGGTCTGACCTGGGAGAGGGGGTTACACCGACACAACGTTGACCTGTTCTGGCCTCTGCAGAGACTGTGGCGCTCTGGGGCATGGAGCTTGGACCCTCCACAGCTGCCGCCTATGCAGGTGCATCTTCTCAGCCCTGTACTGCCTCCCACGCCAAACGTTCGGCCACTGTGGTAAGAGCACCCGCCCCACCCCCGCGCCCCAAACGCGTCTGCCGCATACATGCATGCATACACTTGTGTCTTTGTTGTTAGTGGATGGTCCATAGAGCATCTGCTTGTGCCAGGAGACATAGAAATGAGCAAATTAGATCCGTGCGTCAGGCAACAGACTTTCGATAGTGAAACTGAATTTATTACCGTTATTTACATTTTCCTTGTGGGGACTGCTGGGTCTACGATCTCAGCACTGGGTTCCCAGAAGCTTCAGAAAATGCAGAACAGAGTTAACCTGGGAATCCGACTGGCTCAGCAGATCACTAATGGTACCCAAACCCTGGGGACATAAGAACTGCCGTGAGCAGGAAGGGAGGGGTTGCCACACTGCCTCCTGATGTTTTGTGCCACAGTCTTCCTTTTATCAGGAGTTGGCTTGGACTCCCAATGGTAGACAAAGCAGCGGAGGTTCACCCTTCAGCCCCCTGCCTCCCTCTGCCTCTGTCACTCCTGGGTGGTTGGGCTGTCCACTGTGTCCAAGGAACACTGCATGAAATGACCTCCTACCCCTCCCCCAAACCATTTTTATGCCCTTTCTCAGGCACCTCTGAACCCCTCCAGCGGATGTGGCAGTGAGCGGTTTGTCCCCTGCTCCCCCCTCCCTCAGCCGTCCAGGAAGGGAGGTACCAGAGCAAGGGAAAGTCATTGGCTGCACTGCCTGGCCCCACCCTCTGGCCAAGGCTTTGGCTTAGGTTATTTAGTGATTGCTTAGCTCCTGAGTCCTCTTCCCCTTCCTGTGGAGCACCAGGAATGTCTCCAGGCCCAGCCATCAATCCCCCAAGAGCCTTCCCTCTCCTCACTGAGTCCCAGAGGTTGGAGGACACAAATTTTGGGAATCAGCGTAAGTTTACAAAGTAAATCTGGTAGTCTCACAGGTGACGTCAGTTCTTATCAGCAGTTCCTCTCTGGGAATGCTGGGAAGGGGCTCTCTGGGGTCTTTAGCAATCTCCCATGCAAGGTCTTGGAAACATTCAGGGCAGAGACTCCTATATCTGCTGGTCAGTGGCCAGGGCTTCTGAAAATGCTTCCATTCTCAAACTTAGACAAAGTAACAAGCTCCCCCTCCAGGGTAACTGCCTCTGCCCCTGCATAGAAGTCTCTAAAACCTTCAAGAGTAACAAAAATAAAAATAACTCGATCCTGTTGTCTATTCAGCAATAAAGGGACATTGACAGGTATCAAGTGGTCAAACTTGGTTTCATTTCTTTTTTTTTTTTCCCACATACGCCAAAAGTAACGGGTATGACAAAGGTCTTTGGCATGTCCAAAAATTTAGAAGACCTTTGATAAATGATATAATAAGGTCTCAGGTTCTAGTAATAAACTATCCACTAGTAACAGGACTTTTTTCTTTCCTAGTGTGACATAAAGTAGTGGCAGTTCACAGAATAAAAAGTGTAGATTTTTAATAAACATAAAATATTAATAAAACACTTTAAAGTTTTTCTCTAAATGTATAGTGGTGTTCTAAATTTTTTCTTTTTAATCTCAAGTGATCTCCTTAGGAAGCACACCACAGTGGTCACAGGGTCGGTTTGGGACCCTAGGGTGCTTATTTCACAGAGCCTGCAGTAACTTGTAGTTTGTGTGTGAGACCCAACTACCTAAGGGGCCTGAATCGCCCCCTGTTGCCTCCAATCTCCCAGAGAAGGTGACTCTGTATGATTGACCCTGCCCTCACCTGATGCCGCGTGCGTTTTCCTGTGATTGGCCAAGATCTATGTCAGAAATCTTCATCAGTTGCTATCCCCCCTCTTCCTCCTACTCCTTCCCTTCTCCTTGTCCTTCCTTCCTGTCTTCCTTCTTATTTGAGACATACAGGGTATCACTGCATCTTGCTGGCTAGCCTGGAACCCACCTATCTCTACATCCTAAGAGCTAGGATTAAAGATGTGAACCACCACACCCAAACCAATATCAAAGCTTTTGTTCTTTTATTCATACATGTGGGTTTTTTGTTTTGTCTTGTTTTCTTGATGATGCAATCCCAGGGGTCCTCTGGCCAGCCAGCTTATCCTAATATATGAGTCCCAAGTCCAAAAAAAAAAAAAAAATCTGGATGGTGCCTAAAGAATGACCACCAAGGTTGACCTCTGTTTTCCACAAGCTTACAGGTACCTTGTACACACACGTGAATACACACCTGCACACAGACAAAGACACAAAGAGCTAATCTGGACAGAGAGTTGCTGCAAGCTGCTTTAAATTCTATTTGCCCTGGCTGCATCTGATACAACATTCTGATAGGCCTCCCTCTTCTGCTTGTGAGCTAAATGAGTCAGGCTAAAGAAAGGTCTGTCTGTTCGCCTGCAAAAACAGTGGAGGCTTTTCCCTTCAGTGTTCAATGTCACACCAAAATTTAGATGTCTCTGAAGGCGGGGAAAATAAGTCTTTCATTTGTTTGTCTTGAACACATTCCAGGCAAGAGTTCTGTCATCCAGTACTGAAAAAGAAGGAAGGTGACTGGGCATGGTGGTACACACCTTTTGTCCCAGCCTTCAGGAAGCAGAGACAGGAAGTTCTCTGTGAGCCAGAAACCAGCCTGGTCTAAATAGTGAGTCCTAGGCTGAATACTGTAAGCCCATATAAAAAAAATTATATACACACATGTACAAAAAGAATATATATGCACACACACTCACACACACACACACACATAGACATGGGGAGGGGCAGATTCCAGCTATAGAAGGGCCAGGCTCAGAGCCAGACAGAAGAAGGCTTTAGTGAGACCGGGTACAGACATCTCTGTGTTCCTTTAGCCAAGCCCACAGCCGTGAACTTTATGTGTTCTCTGTGTTCTTTTCCAGACCTGAAAGGCTTCCTCTCATCAGGCTCTTCAGGGACCAGAGGGCCGAGTGCAAACGGTGCCCTGAGTCTTCTGATGCTTGGCCTCCTCCTGCAGGGCGTGGCTGGTGACGGCTGAGGCTCCTAAGCCCAGTGACAGCGTCTCCTGGAGCTGCCAGGAGTCATCCTTGGTTGCACATGGCGCCGCAGCATGCCAGCAGGAAGGCTGGGGCAGCAGGCATCTGCTTAGATGTTGTGTGTTGTAAATAACAGAACGGCTGAAATGTGACAGGTTCTTGTACTGTGCAATAAACACATTCAACAGGGAGACCTCCTTGCTCACTGAGCCTCTTTTCAAGGTCTCCAGTGGAGGCAAACCTCAATAGAAGAGCCCAGTATATTCAACCCAGAATCTCTTTCTGAAGGTTTCTGGACAGGATTGAATGGAGACCCCCAAACAAGTGTCCTTCCCAGGTGACAGTCTGAACAGCCTGGACCCTTACCTGTGTGCCTCATTGCTGAAGCTCCCTGTTATCCACTGTTGGCTGTCAGTCTCTCCACTGACCTCTGAGCCCCTGGGAGAGGGACGGTGGGTCCAGAACACTGTCCTGGGTTTTGAGAAAGCCAACAACCTTAAACGTTCTGTGCTGATATTGTAAGGAAGACAGGAGGGACTGGGGGCAAGCATCCTGGAACCTGCCTCCTCATTAGCAGGAATCAGGCCATTCTTGGCAGTTCACAGCATCTCCCTAAAATACAAGCACATGTAAAATGAGGCGTTTGAATGAAGTTAACGTGTTATCAAGGGGAATGCCCCAACTAGATACTATGTGATAACAAATAAAATCCCCAGTACCAGGGATAGGTTGCATCTTTTGAGCTATTGGTAATGGGATTCCATTAACATCCCCAAACATTATTGCTAATGCTATTGGTTACCGTTCACAGCATGATGGTAAGGTCTTTTTTGCTGAAGACATCACATTCTTACGTCAGAACATGGAGATTTCTAGTTGTCACTTAACTGGAAGCTTCACCACTGCTGGCTAGTGTTCACAGTGCTGGAAGGTGCCACACATGTTACTGGAGGAGAAAAGTTCATACCTGGCTACGCACCTTCAAACAACAATAATGGCCTGCCTAGCAAGGAATGCTCTCCTCTGGTGCAACTGTGGCAAAAATGTCAAGGAAGTAACCAACCTCTTTCCTTAAACTGGGTTTAAGAACCACTCCATGAGATGGAACCCATACTTGACACTGTCAATAAGGTCAAGAACATGAGACTAGATAGAGACTAGGTCATAAGCCCTAAGGGAAAAACCTACTACTATTATTTTGCTAGATGACCGTAGCAATAAAACAACTCATAATGACCTTTGCTTTATCATAGATCTGACACTGTTGATAAGGTCAAGAACCTGATTCTAGACAGGTCATAGGCCCTAAGGGGAAACCTACTAATATTATTCTGCTAAATGACAATAGACATAAAAATAAAACAGCCCATTATGACCTGTTGCTATCCTCATAGATGAGTGTACTGCTCAGTCTTCACCAGAACAGCTTCTTCTTGTAACTGATGGCTAGTAACCACACACACACACACACACACACACACACACACACACACACAGCTAGACAATGTACAGAGAAGAATGCTCAATCGTGAATGAGATGTCTATGCCACAATCCTTCCTTCAAGGATCAGGGATCTGTGTGGAAGAGATGGCAGAAAGATTGGAAGAGTCACATAGGAGGAGATGATTTCAGGGAAGCAGCCTTTTTAGGACACAGCTGTGCATGTGCATATATGAACCCATGGAGACTGACGGCATGCAGAAGTCCTGAAGGAGCTCAAAGCAGACAAAATCTCGGCATGGAGGAGGAGGTGTGGGCATGGAGTCCCGTTCCTAGTCAAGGAGCTATTAGCAATTGATAGCTGCTGTCCCTGCTTAAGGAGGAGGTAACCTTCTGGAACCAAGCAGCTGGAAACCCTGAAAAAGTATGAGGAGTGGTGCTGAAGGGACAGAAAAAGTCAGAAGTCTCTTTAGCTTTTGGTCTTCATTTATTATTTATTTATTTTTTATTTCGTCTGACTTAGGGCAAGTACGGCTTCAGATGGACAGGTGAACCCACAGATGGTATGGAGCTCAATACCCAGGACTCTCACAGGACATGCTGGCTGTTCAAGGCCCTGTGCTTCTGTCACAGGTTCCTGAACTAACTCAACTGAAGAAGGAGGACCCAAGAAGACAGCAGGACCGTGCAGATCATTGGCTTGATGGCAATGCCTTGGCCTTTGTTACTATTCCAGGGCTTTCCACCACCGGGGGGTCTGGGATGGTGAGGGGGCCTGTTGGGCCCCTGTGGGTTTGGGTCAGGCCCATGTGGCTTTGGGTCAGGCGATGCTTTCTTGTGTTCTTTAATCCAGTTGTCAAAGTAGGAGACCCTGGCGAAGACACTGGGGCTGGTGAGTGGGGTTTCACACGGTGCGCTCCAGCTGGTCAGCCCCACCAAGTACCAGGAGCCATTCAGTAAGCAGACGAGGGGGCCCCCAGAATCTCCCTGAGGAGAGAGAGGACACAGAGAGTGGGGCGACCACAGGGAGGGACACACACTGACCAGGAGAGGGAGAATGTGATGGAGACCAGGTGTCTCTGCCATCCGGGTAGTCTCATCTGGATCATCGGAGCAATTTTGCAAATCCAAGCACAGGCAGCCTCTTGGGCCAGTATCTTCATGGAGCCCCACTGCTCAAAGCTACCAAGGAACCCAGGATACCATTTGGTGGAGAGTCTACAAGCTGAACATCGGCTCTCCGCTGTCTATGTGGGAGATGTCGCTGAAGTCCCAAAATGGTCACTGTGGTGGTTTGAGAAAAAAAAAAAGGCCCCCAAAGGGAGTGGCACTATTAGGAGGTGTGGCCTTGTTGGAGTGGATATAGTCTCTTTTGGGGGAAGTGTGTCACTGTGGAGGCGGGCTTTAAGGTCTCTTATATGTTCAAGATACCACTCAATGAAGCAGTCTACTAGTTGCCTGAAGGATGTAGGACTCTCAGCTACTTCTCCAGCACCACATCTGCCTGCATGTTGCTCTGTCGTCCCTGCCACGATAATGGATTGAACCTCTGAACTGTAAGCACGCTACCCTAACTAAGAGCTTTACTTTATTAGAGAAGCTTTGGCCATGGTGTCTTCACAGCAATAGAAACCCTAACTCAGACAGTCCGTAACCGACTAATGGGCCTGGAGACACGGTCCTTCATCTTTGGCTGAATCCCCTGTCCCAGCACATCACCCCACATGTACCTTTGTGTTTTACTTAATAACATTATGAGTGATTCTTCAGTCCCTTGGCTGAGCTCCTTTAGAAGATGCTGAGCTGTAGGATGTATTAAGCTGTCCCAGGGGCCCAGCCAGGAGAGAACCACAGGGAGCTCTTAGGCTCCAGCAGACAGGTGGGGACTCCAAGCACAGCAGGGTAGAAACGCTCCTGTCTCAGACCAAAGCGCAGGAAGCAAAACAACATAGTCCCCAACAACTTTGTGTTGAAACACATGTCAAGACAGTCTTCGTTCACAGAATGCTCAGGTTACAGGGAGGATTGTAGGCACACACCTGAAGATCGTACATAGTGCTAATGAGCCGCACAGATGGCGGAAGAACACTCAAGGGGATGCACAAACTAAGTCGTAAGAGGGCTTCTCCGAGCCAAGACTGGATGGAATCACTGAGGTGTGACTGTGACAAGCTGTGGGCAGAGACACAGTTGCCCAGCAGGGAAGCAAGGGGCCCTGGTAAAAATTCTGGAGCTTCTGAGACAGGGCTGCAGGCCTGGTCTTGGCAGGTCACCGTAAATGGGGAGGCAGTCAGTGGGTGGAAACACAGGATGGACCCTTTCTTTCTATTGTAAATGCAAAGCATGTGAGATGGGTTTAAACTCCAGAAACCACGTTGCAGAGAGAAACAACTACCATAAGCTACTGTCTGACCCTCACATATGTGCATGAGCGCATGCACTCGCAAACACTCATACACACGGGGGCGGGACTAAATTAATTGATTTGATTATTCTAAAATGCAAAGCAAGCTGGGTACTATATACATATAACCCTGGTACTCCAGAGGCAGAGGCGCAAGGATTGCAAGTTCAAGACTAACCTGAGCTACACAGAAAGATCATTTCTAGACAAACAAACAGATGATAGATTAATATATTAGGTAGACAGGTGAAAAGATAGATAGATAGATAGATAGATAGATAGATAGATAGATAGATAACAAACAGATGAACAGATAAATAGATTCGAAACAAACAAAACCAGCCACAAGAAAAATTCAAAGCAAGAACAGGAAGCTGGATTGTGAGCACTGGTCAGAAAGAGGAACCAAGAGAACGAAAGAGCAAAGGGCCATCTGAACAGGAGCACAGGGTGAACTGAGCTAACAGGGTAGGACAACTAAGGGCACCTGCTGATACTACAAGACGAGCTGGGAAGAGGGTATTGAGAATCATCTGGCTCCTGAGGAGCAGGGAAGGTGCACATAAGATGCAAAGTCATATACTTCTGAAGCAAGAGGACAGCCAAGGGAAGAGAAAGAGGAAGACAGACTCTAGGGCAAGCAGAGGCCACAGGAGATGCTTCTAGTTGCCCACTTCCTTTCTGGCTTCAGTGCCCCAACCATTAAATGTAAACAATACAGACTGCACATGAACTAATGATGAGCTCATGCCCCAAAATAGAAGAGTTCCTTTGAATCATTATGGAAGACACGTGATCGACCAATGGTGACAAACCAGCCTTGCAACCTTGAGAACATACTTCACAGAAAAAAAAAAGGTCAACCTCATTAGTCATCAGAAAAATGAAAATAAAAAAAATTACATACTGCTGGCCAGTGGTGATATACACTAATCCCAGCATTTGGGGTGCAGAGGCAGGTAGATCTCTGTGAGTTCGAGGCCAGCCTGGTCTGCAGATCAAGTTCCTGGACAGCCAGGGCAACACAGAAATCTGTCTTGAAAAACAAAAACAAAACAACAACAAAGAAAGAAAGATCACATCTAATGGTTAAAATGAAACAGGCAGATAATTCAAAAACAAACAAACAAACAAATAAACCAAAAACAAAAAACTGGTACAACGTGGAGCAACCTAAACTCTCCAGGGTGGAAACACCAATTGGTACAACCAGACTGGAGAGCTGCCTGGAGTAGGTGTACGACAAGAACACACGTGCATCTCGTGGCACGGTGGTTCTACTGCTAGCGTGAGGACCCCT